CGCCTTATAGTGTTATTAAGGCATCGTGCCAGTCTGTTTGCTTTTTGTACTTGATCTCTCACTTCTTTGTTCATTCTCCATAGCTAGACAGCGTAATTCTCAGTATTTTATTTTCATTACTTGTTCAATTATATTTGAACGAAGGATCCTGAGAGGAATATTTGGTGGCATCTGTGAAAATGGTGTTTGGAGGAGGAGATACAACTACGAGGTATACCACAGATATAAACAAATATTCGGTGGTAAAGACGTCGTATCTCTTATAAGAATAGGAAGACTAAGATGGGCAGGACATCTAGCAAGATCACAGCAGAACAACCCTCCTAGAAGAATCCTTATGTCACAACCCGTGGGAAGTAGAAAAAGAGGTAAGCCAAAACTCAGATGGAAGGATGGTGTAGATGAGGATGGTAGAAGGATAGGCGCAGCAAACTGGCAACGGTTGGCAATGGATAGGACTGCCTGGCGTAATAGACTTAGAAAGATCGAGGCTCTTTCATAGGGCGGTAGCACCATTGTTGATGATGACTTGTTCAATACTGATGCCATCCATTTTTATTTCACATCTGGTTAGTTCTTTGCTGCCTACTATTGTTTTAGTTTTCTGAGATGACATTGTCATATTAAATTCTTTTCCTCTTAGGTTAAATCTGTGGATCAGTTTCAGTCTTTGCAAACCATCTTCATCTTGGGCTATCAATATTGCGTCGTCTACGTAAGAGAGTACTTTTACTTGTATTTTCATTATTTTAATTTCTTTGTTTCCCATTCTGTATCCTCTTACTTTGTTAACGGTTTTGATGATTTCATCCATGATCAAATTAAAGAGCATGGGGCTCAATGAATCCCCTTGTCTTATTCCGCTGCCTATTTTGATAGGTTCTGTAAGTTGTCTATCTATTCTGACTTTCATTTTGTTGTTTTGGTAGATGTTTTCGATCATCATCATCTTTGGCTCGACAATCCTCTGTGGATCTGGACCTGCTCTAAGATTGGTCGCCATTCTGTTCGGTTTCTGGCAACATGTTGCCATCTTCTGATTTTTTTTATCCGTAAGTCGGTTTCAACTCCATCTAACCACCTAATTCGCAGTCGGCCTTTGCTTCTTCTTCCTACAGGTGTTCCTGTGGTTAGCTTTTTAGCAATCGTATTTTTCGTAGATGTTTTCGATAGTTTTTATAATATTTAGGGAAACTTCTCTATCAGAATATCTTTGAGTCTTGCTCTGTCAAACGCTTTTTTAGGTCAACCAGATACAGAAATGTTGGTCTATTATACTCTAGTGATTTCTCAGTAATTTGTTTTATAACGAATATTACATCTGTACACCATCTTCTACTACGAAAACCCTGTTGTTTATCTCTAAACTTATCCTCTGATTTATTAGCATTTGTAAAATTTTAGTTGTAAGTTTTAGAACAAGTATATACCTCTGTAGTTTTCTGGTTGTTTTTTATCTCTTTTTTTTTAATAGTAGAATTAGTTCTCGTTTTCCTTTCTTCCGGTATTTTATTGTGTTTTATAATTTTGTTAATCAATGTTGTTAATTGTTCTATCATTGCTGCTCCATATATTTTTTTAAAAAAAGGTAATTTTTATTAATGCTAACAAAAAGCAGACTATTTGACTTACCTTTATGTATAATTGAAACAAGATAAGATGAAAAATAACGTTGTAAATACAAATAAAATACGATGGTTTAGAAAAGTCTACTCGTTTCAAGATAGCTGCAATGCCGACCACTAAATGTACTTTAATTCGGAGATAAATATTGAAACATTATTTGGCCTTGAGCTACGACAGTAGAATAATTGTTACTGTATTATATAGATGTCAAGGCAGATAGGACAGTATCCGAAATTGGGAAACTGTCCGAAATTAGGTGCCTTTCCTCTATAAAGCGATCCGAAACATTGTGTACACAGGGTGTACTGTGGCAAATTGCCGAAAATGGATGACATGACAAAATAAAAAAAATTCTTTACTCCTGGTAGCAATATTTTGTACGACAGTAGGTCGCAGGTCATTATTTTTGTATTATCTACCCAAATTATAAATGCCGTACCCATGTTTGGCCAAAAAGGCCCCTCTTAAGTGGTAAGCTTATCTTACCTATGACTCATTGCATCTTCTTCCACAGCGGCGGCAACTTTCTCTCCGACAGTGGTGGCAACTTTCTTTGGCACTCTGTTGGCATCTTTTTTTTTTACAATGGAAAAGACTTGTTCTAACATTTCGTAATCGGATGCGGATAAATTATCGAACTAATAGATATGAAAATTATTACTTTCAATGTTAAAAAGGGCATCTGAGTCTTCGCTCGTTTCAGAGCAAGTCTTATGTCGCATTAATTGAAGGTCGTCGATTTTTGTATTTCTTCAGAAGCAGGTTTTTTGCGCATGGTTGTGATAAGTTATAATTTAACGGTTTAGCCGCAAGATCGGCAGCACTTATACTCTGTCCAGCAGCTCCATTTACTTTCTTACACCTTTGGACCTGACCCAATGCAGTTGTGAACTACCTTTTCTGTTGAAGTTGTTCCAAAAAACTGTCATCCAATGACTTTTTTATGTTTTCACTTTGTTGGTTCATAATTTCTTCTGGCATACGACTCAACACTTCTGTACGGTTAAGCGGATGAATGCCACAATGCTATAAAGGATATATTGTTGTTTTCACACTTTCGTATCACTTCAACATATAAATGTGAACTTAAATTGTCACCTAGCAATACTTTTTGCCTTCTTGTCTTTTAAGTTTTGGCAGCATTAGGTTGACAAACCAATCTTGGAATAATTGGTAATCAAACCAGCTGGATCTGCTTCTGTTGTACCTAGCATTTCAGGCCGATTCTCCGTTCAAGTTTGCCACAGTTCTTCAGACTCTGTACGACATAAACTGGTGTAACTTTTCCAGTTGCATTTCCAGCTACCATTAATGACGTGCTCGCCTTTCTTGCATTGCGTATTTGCTCAGGGTAGTTTGCGCTTCGTCGTATAATAACTTTAAATGCACTAGGATCGTCAGCAAGATTCGTTTCATGATAATTCCAGAGATTTGGTGGAGGTACATTCTCTAACTCTCTTTCGAGATTATCGAAAAAACCTTTTATAGTTTCATGGTCTACTGCAGCCCTTGAAGGCTTATATTTCTAGCAAATCGATTAACTAATACCAATATATTGTTATGTCTAGACAGAAATTATGTCACCCATTCTTTTACTGGAAAGATATCCTTGAAATATTCATTTTTGCCTCTCTTATCTAGATATATCTTTACAATACATAACAGATCATGAGCTGTCACACGAAATTTATCTTACCTGTGAGTCACTTATACCGATAAGAATTAACGACATATAGTTTCTAAAGTTGTTGTTGTTACATATTGTAGTATTGTTTTATATATGTAATTTATGCTGGGTCAAATGGCCGATTAAAAATGTCCCTTAGCAAAGAACGAGATTAACGAAGCATAAAGCCCTTAAAAAATCTGTTTTTGCACTTGCAGAGTCAATTATAGATTATAAATTTAAGTTACTTCTTAATACACTGTATACAATAGTTTAAAATTAGAATCACATGATAAATTTCTACCTTTTCCTCCTATTTAATTCGTTTATAACAACAAAAATATTGTTTTGATTTTTCATTTTTTTGTTTTATTTGTTTATTTTTCTGTTAAAACATAATATAGTAAACATAACATCTCATATCAATGGGTTTAAAAAACAACTTCAATCAGAAAATTCTTCTACGCAAATTATAAATATTGCGTAATATATCTATTTTTATACTAATTACGAGTATAATCTGCTATTCGCCAATTTTACTATATATCATATCCACTACTTTTCATTTTCTTTTTAATTCATTTTTAGTGTATTTGACATTCTAACATTCTTTAGTTATTATTTTATTTCTAGGTACGGTCAAGGTTATTCTGCTAGGTGCGCACACAATTTTAAACAAAACAACATGATACAGAAAAATACCTATAAGTTTTGGATTCTACTGTGAATACACTTTGGTAACAGAAATAGATTAATATCGTTTAAAAAATTTATTTTAAAAATATACTGGATATAATTTTGCAATCAGTCGCAAAATGGTTAATCCAAAACCAATAATTATTTACAAGCCTTATTTAGATACATATCATTTCATTAGGTTTCTTTTATTTCTAAATAATTTGCAAAATGAACAAACGCCAATCTACACTTCTTCTCTGATAATATATATTCCAACGAAAGTCTCTTTGACCGTAAAATGTAATCAATATTTACTACTGCGTAGTATGTTTTAAAGAACGCTTCACCCAAAAACTGCTCCCAACATTTACTATTTGTTTCTAATGCATACGTAAGCAATAAAAAAATTATAAGCTGTCAAACTATTTTGACAGCTGAAAGCATTTGACAGATAGCATAAATTTTGACAGTTGTATTTTGCTGTATAGTTTAAAATGTATTTTCAACAACTGACTGATAACTACTAATCCATTACCAGATTTAGAACATTGCTTAAAATCTACTTCATATAAAGATAAATATTTACTCGTACTTTTCTTTTGTACTACTTTATTGTTATGTAAGATGTGCCAGTCATCATTCCTTTTCCTTTTATCTTGATTGGACGTTAGCGAGCGCCATCTGTCGTTAGCAAGGTTACGCGCGATGCTTAGAATAAAGAGGAGTGTATTTGAACCGGTATATACGAAATAATCACAGACGGACGTTGCAAATACTCGCTTGTCTCACTGTGTAGACAAAATTATCTTCCAGCTGCAAATCGACTGGTTTTCTTATCCCGCCATTTCTAATAGTTGGGTGACCACATCACCGCGTTTCAATTTGGCGTGGTACGTACCTGTAAGCCAGAAAATTGTGACATTTTAGTATTTTTGATAATCACCGGAAAAGTTTTTGCTTAGTGAAGTGAAATAATAATAAAAGTGACGTTTGTAAAGCATCTTTCCTACTTTTTGTACTTTATGATATCAATGTGTCATAATTGAAGTAAAAGCTATTTGATGGGTTTCTTCAATGAAAATGGAAATAGGTAGAATAATATATACAGTAGTAAAAGAAATGTTAGTAAATTACTTTACTATTACAGATACGCTCAGTAACTATGAGCAACGGGCAGAAAAACCGGTAGATAACACAATGGATGTAGATCTCACAGAAAATGGTAAATATTAATAATGATATAACCTTAAAATATTAAACTTTTTTTTTTGCTTTCAACTTTTCAGATGGAACAAACTCTCCTGTGGAGAAGGTTTCTGAAGATGGAAAAAGTACTCCCGGTAAGGTTGTTTAAATCTGTACCTATTTCTTATTTACTAAAATACATAAATTTTCAGAACCAAAAGAAAATGCCAATAAAGAAATTAAGGAAACAGGTTAGTATATTTCGTTTAAATAAGTAGAAATTGGTAGAAATAACACTACAGTTTTCCGTTTTGCCATCATGGGTTAAATGTGTGAAGAAGCTTTCTACTAATATTTTTATTTTTTTAGAAAAATAGTGTAATGTGTTTGTTATTTCTTACAGTTGTGTAGAGAGTTCTCTTCACTGTAGTGTTGTTAGTTATATTGTTTCTATATTAATAGATATCTTCATATTACTAATATCGTATGTCTGTTTTAATCAGACCAACAGATTATGCAAGTGAAACAAAATCAAGTCTGTGGAACACTATAATCAATGACATATTCTTGTTGTTTGTTAGTATGTTCTCACTGTTTTCATGTTAATTATTCTTTCTAGTTCAATCTGTTGTTTTTATTTACTAACTATGGTGTTTATTTTACCTTTCTTACCTATTTTTTTTTTGTCAAATTATCAATAGTGGATGATTTCTGTCCACTGGGATCTTAGATACCTAGGTATATATACATATTTGATCTATTTTTACAACAAATTTAGATCATTTTGTTGAACAAAGCTTAGACATTATATAGGTAGTTGCCTGTTTACTGATTTGATCATTTTTGTATATGAGAACTTATGATTTGTGTCTCTTTTATATTCCTTGTTTACTTATATGTTAATTTTTTTACAAATATTTTGTTCGTTGTTTAAAATATATAAACTCTATGCATAATTTTTCCTCTCTGTTGCATTCTTATCAATTTAAAATTATTCAGAGCCATATTACATATCATCATCATCATCAATTAGCCTATACTTGTCCACTGCTGAATGTAGGCCTCCCGTAAAATTTTCCACCTATTTCTATCTTAGCTTGTTGTATCCAGTTTGTGGTGATGTGCTTGATACCATCCGTCCATCTAGTTGGTGGTCATCCTCTGCTTCAATATACTTCTTGCCTTGGTCGCCATTCCATAATCTTTCTGGTCCATCTATTATCTGTTAATCTGGCAACATGTCTGGCCCAAGAATGTTTAGCTATGGTTATTTTTTCAACTGCATCAGTGACTCCTGTTCTTCTCCTTATTTCTAGGTTTGGTACTTTATCTCTGATGGACATACCTAATATTGATCTTTCCATAGCACATTGTGTAACTCTTATTATATCTATTGTTCTTTTTGTCAGAGTCAGTGTTTCTGCACCATATGTAAGAACCAGTAAAATGCACTGGTTAAAAACCTTTCTTTTTAAACAAACTGGGATAATACACTTAAAAATGTTATTCAATTTACCAAAGGCAGCCTATGTGAGACCTATCCTTCCTTGTATTTCAGTTGTCTGATTATCTCGGCCTAAGCGAATCTCATGCTCTGGATATTTGTAAGCTATTACTTGGTCGATGCTATGGCTCTCAATCAGAATTTTACCGCTGACTACAAGGTTGGTCATAAATTTTCTCTTTGAGGTGTTAATTTTAAGACCAATTGTTTTTGACACTTATAGAGTGTGTGCAGCTTTTTTGTAGCTTTATCAATTCTATTAGATATTAAAACTATGTCATCAGCAAATCTTAGGTGGTTCAGATTTTCCCCATAATGCACTATATCTAATGTATTTCACAATTTTTGTGTCAGTAGGTTTTTCCTTAAATTTTTTATGACTAAAGGTACAATTAATATTGGCCTTAAGCATCTGTGCTTTATTATATTGTTATTTCTGGTTACTTCCATTCAAAGTCACAATTTGACAAACATAGTACAAATTTAATTATTAAAATTGCTAGAAAGTTGGAACTGACTTGAGTGAACAGAGTATAGTAAAAACAAACCCCCTAAAATTTATAGGTTGGTTATATATATATGTGGTTGGATAAAAGCTTTTGAAAAGGTAATTATTCAACATCTTCCTCCTCATCACTGCATGTTCAACCCAATTTAACATATTTGGGCAATATTCAGAAACTATATTAATGACACATAGATAGAGATGGAACAACAAAAAAGATGAAACTGTTACTGTGCATCATGTCTCTTTCACAAAAAGTGTCTACTACCAAAATCTCGTGGCAGAACACAAATTGAATGTTAAGATCCTTAGTTTAGACATGTAACTTGAATGTTATAATATTGGTGGAAACATGGTTGAATGAACAAATTCCTACTGCAGAGCTTAAATGACTTTGTTACACAATTTTTCGAGAAAACCGTAATTCAAATACTGATTCCTATTTAAGAGGAGAAGGTATACTTGTTATAATATCCTGCTACTGTTGAAAATGAATACTTCTCTTTTTTAGATTTAAAAAGCCCCATACATAACTCTCATAATGTATTCTTAGATTTAATATTTTGTAATCATCCTCAGTCAGTAACATCCTCTTAATGATTATTTTGGACTTGTCAATTGGGTTTTAATTGTTATTGTAGATTGAAATTATCATAAATAATTTTATCAGGTATACTGAATAATGGTATAGCACATTTGGTTCTTATTAAAAAATTTGATTCTTCTAGCCTTTCTTGATGGATCCCTCTGTATCTCAAACGTGTCATATTGAAAAAAAAAGGAAGGCTCATATAGAGTTAAAAAATCCCTGTTCCCAAAACACTGTATTTTTTAATTTACTGTCTTAATGTAAAAAGTGACTAGAGAGGGTTGTGAACCTTATGTTGCCCATTTGAACCAAAATATTCCTTATGATGCCAACAGTTCGGGAATTTCATTAACTCATGTAGAAAATACTATGGTATCCAAAATAATTTGTTAATTATTATTTAACTGGGAATAAGCCACAATTAAAGATAAAAATACGTTTATAATTATTTAGCCGTTTATAGTATAGCATAAGTTTATAATTTTAAATTTATTAAATTTTAATACCAGGTTTATCTATAAACAGTAAATTTACTGTTTGTATTTGGAGAACGATTTCCGAAGTGGAAATTGAAACGTCAATAAACGTATTTTTATCTTTAATTGTGGCTTATTCCCAGTTAAATAGTAATTAATTTACAATGCCACAAGAAAATAGCTTCAGAACAATAATTTGTTCTTAGACAATAAGTGCTGCGATACTAGATCTTCTGTTTATACTAATGGAACCCTGGTTCATTTAGCTGCTTTTAGCATTTCTATTTATAATATAACCCTTGCAGAGGTATTACTGATAAGATTCCTTCTTATTTTCTCATAAGATGTATTTATACCTTGAGTAAATCCACTTACATGTTGTTTAATCAGTAATTTGTATCAGTAACAGTATCAGTTATGTCACTATCCACACATCCACAATAACTAATCTCTTGTTATTCCAAAATGATATACTTAATTCAATAGAGTGGTAGTCAAATGGATGCTATTTGTACTGATTTCAATAAAGTCTTTGATAGGATAAATTGTGCTGTTATTATCAGGAAAGAGTTACCTTGAACTTTCCAATATGGCTTACTGTATGGTTATCAAGATACCTTAGTAACTAAATTCAGATAATTAAAATTAAGATCCACTTAGCTCATTCTGGTGTTCCTCAAGGATCTTACCTTGAATCCTTGGTTTTTAGTGTGTTAATAAACAACATTGGTTTGGATTTTCAGTTTTTCAAATTTTTATTATTTGCAGATGATCTTAAGTTATATGCAAGAGTAAACATTGTTAACAACTGTATTCATTTGAATAGGGATATAGTTGCTCTTTTGAATTGGTCAATAGCTAATGGAATGAGTGTAAATATATTTAAATATTATTGTTTTACATTTTCTAGATCTAGAGTTCCAGTTTTCTTTGATTGTCAGCTTTGTGCATGTCTCTCTTGACTTGCCAACAGATTCAGTGATGAGGGTGTAGGTTTTACTGGCATATCTTGCTAGTTTTTAAGCATAGTATTCAACTTGCTTTAAATGATTTGTAGATTCCATATTTTTGCTTTCAATTTACAGTGGTACCTCAACATATGAGTGTAATTCGTTCCATAATCTTGCTCATATGTCAAAGCAACTTTCCCCATTGAAAATAACTGAAATGTCATTAATCCATTCCAGTCCCCAAAAAAACATGTTAGTTGTTTTTAGTAAGTGTTTTTAAATAAGATAAATGTATTTAAAAGAAGAAACATTTATTTATAAACGACAAAAAATACATACATATTCTGTTAAAACATAAGAAAAAGTGAAGTGCTTACTGAAGCGTTTACTTATCATCAGTGGTTTTCGCTTTTTTTGTCACACTACTCATTTTCATCTGCAGATCGCTTAAAAAACTGTCCAAGGAGGTTTCTTCCTCCTATTCTGTATCCTCTTCTTTTGTTAACAGTTTTGATGATTTCATCCACGATAAAATTGAATATGGTCTCAATAAATCCCCTTGTCTTATTCCGCTGCCCTTTCTATGGCTTCTGTAAGATGTCCATCTGACCTTCATTTTGTTGTTTTGGTGATGTTTTCGATAGTTTTTATACTTAGGGGAACTTCTCTCTTATACAGAAGAAGAACTAAATCCGTCGTTTTGTTGTACAGCTTACATAATGATAATATTGCATATGAAACAAATAAAACACCAGAAATTATTATTCTTTATAATAATACAAAAGGAGGTGTTGACATGTTAGATGAAAAGTGCACTTTAGTCAAAACAATTACAATTATTCAACATCCCTTAGTCCTAGAAGATGGCCAATGACCATTTTTTTATATGATATTGAATGTGTCTGCTGTTAACAGTAGTCATAATATATTAATTTTCTCCACATAGAAAACAAATTGTGGGTAATGAATATATTAAACAGCTTGGAACTTCTTTATGCGAATTTCACATTAGTCATCGAATTTCCAACCAAAAAGTTAATCGCAAATTACGTGACACAGCCTCTGATATCTTTAAAATTGATCTAGAACCTTTTCTTGACCTACCTGCCAAAGTTCTTAAATAAAAAAAAAAAGATCTTTAGTATGTCCATCGAAAAAAACAAACCTTAATTGCGACATATGTAAAAACACCATATGTTTTCAATCTGTAGTAAATCCAAATTGATTTCCAGACATTTTTATATTTATTATGGGCTTACAATATTATACTTCTTAACGCAAGTGTAGTGGTTAAGTAGCATATTTATGTGGTTAGTACTCACGGGTTAAGAAGAGAAATCCCCTTTGTTGGAACAGCCGAGCATGTTTCCTTTTTTGTGTATGGAATTTCCGTAATCTATTCTTCAGGCAAAATAATTATCAGCTTAATATCTTCATATTTACCTAATTATCAGTAGAGCAAAATGGAAAATGAATATTTTTTGTTTTAATGTACATTTCATATTAAAACTACTTACCATTTTTTACTTTTTTTAGACACCTCTGTGGTAGAGAGTGAAAGTGATGAAGATTGTGAAGAGGTACAAGAAAAGCTTTTATTGAGCCCTGCACATAGTGATGGTGGTGAACCCTTGAGCCCTGTAAATAGAGACTTATTAGATAGTGACGGTGAAGGAGAGAGAGAAGAGTCTGATAGACTGGACCAAGATGTTGATAATGATGAAACAGATAAGGCACCTGCTACTGAAAGTATCCAAAATAACGATGAAAGTGAGACCGAAAGTAACAATGCTACAGATAAGGATAATGATAGAAACGATAAGACAGACATAGATAGCAAAGAAAATGAAGAGAATTGTGATAGTATTAAAAAAGGTGATGAAGAAGAAAGCAGCAAAGATGATGAAGAGAGCAGCAAAGATGATAAAGAAAGCGGCAAAGATGAGGTAGAAGATGCAAAAACTGTAGATAGATCTGATAATGAGAACTCGAGTGATATTATAGATAAAACCGAGGATGCTGTTAGAAAAGAAGTAGCTGATGATGCAGATGAAGATGAGACCAAAAAACATATAGGAGACATAGAATCTGAAACGATGGACAAAACTGAAGAAAGCAAGGAAGCAGATGTTAAGGAAAATGAAAAAATAGAAGAAAGCAAGGAAGCAGCTGTTGAGGAAAACAAGAAAACTGTTTCTGAAGAAAAAAGCAAGGAAGCAGCTGTTAAGGAAGACGAGAAAACTGTTTCTGAAGAAGAAAGTAAGGAAGCAGCTGCTGGAGAAAACGAGAAAACTGTTGCTGATGAAAATGTAGAAGACATTGAGAAAAAAGATAAAGAAAGCAAGCAGAAAGATAAAGAAAAATCTGATGCGGAAGATACTAAAGAAGATAATGAGAAAAAAGAAAGTGGAAAGACAAATAGCAGCGAAGAAAACAAAATCAGCCAGGAGGATAAAGAAGAAGTAGTGCAAAATGTAGAGGATGGTGATAAAGAAGCTAGTACTAAAACAGAATCAAATTCTACAGAAAATGAGTCAGTTCAAAATAGTAAAGATGACAAAAATGACCAAAAGGTATCTGAAAAGGAGGGGGAGGATGATGTCCATTTAAAATCTCTTTTAAAAGAAACTCTAATGAAACCTGTAGAAGATTTTAGGCCAGATGGTAAGTTAACTATATTTATATGTATTTTTTAAGAAAAATAGGTTTTCATATTTTGTAAGTATGTCGAGATTCTTATTATCATAAAAGCCCAAATACACAATAATTTTCTCTAGATTTTTTCTGCATATAAATTGAAAGACCCATATTTTCTTCATTAAAAAAATGTAATACAGGAGCGTAAATACATAAAATTTTTCATTTATGTATGATAATCGTGTCTCCACTTCGTGATTAAGGTCATTGTCGTCGGAGCAAAAAGTTACTGCAATAATTACATTATTCACTCATTACAGAAACCTATATAAAAAATTTGGAAAGAACCCTATTATTTGATCTAAATTTGAGTATATAATTCGGAAGTCCTTAGGAAGAAATTTATTGGGATTCTGAACTGGCTAGCTTCAGGTTGCAACTCTTTAAGTTTCGGTTTTTGAAGGCCCAAAGTTCCTACTGCTTGATCCGGATATTCCGATTTAATTTTGATTTCATATTTTGGGGTGGGGGCGAGAGATCTCCCTAATTTTCATCGTTTCAACAAAATGCGGTTTTTAATAACTTACACTGCATGCTTGTTGTACAGTGGTTAAGGTAGGACCCGTCGATACACACACAACAATAATAATACATATTTACTTTGCTTTTCATGCAAATTCTGATTGTTTAGGGTTCCGATTCCGAAGGTATTTGTTTGAAAACTATCCCTGTTCCCGATACAAGAAAGACACGTGCATACTTCACATCCGTATTAGAAGGAATATACTGCGTTGGTTGGATATTTGTACTCTACTACATACTCTATAAGATTTAGTGACAAGACAGCCAAGTCCATCAACACACTTTTTCGTAGAGGTAGAGGTTATGGGCCTATGAATGTTTCATTTGCGCCTCCCCTGGCAAGTAGGTCCGCTTTTCCGTTTCGTTGAATACCAGTATGTCCAGGTACCCAGACTAAACTTACTTCGTTACTTTTTCAGATTGAAATGAGATTCTGAAAACAGTTCCAAATTAACTTTGCCTTTCGATTCTAATGCCGTCTGGCTATCAGATCATTTTTATAAAACTTTCCCTGCAGTCCCTCTTTATTAGTTCCTGCAAGCGCATCTCTATAGCATAAATTTCCTCTTGGAAGATAGTAGAGGGATTACCTAGACTTCAATAAGACAGTCTTGGCTTCCCTCCGTATACTCCAGCTTCAACTCCTTCATCGGTTTTGGAGCCGTCTGTGCACCAGCATTGATCTGCCATTATATGATTCGTTTTATTCGACTCTCATTCGTCTCTTCCTGGAAAAGGGACAGTAAACGGCTTTTCGAAATTATATTAAGTTTCATTGCACATGGTACCACTTCCAACTCTGGGTAATTTTTAATTATCTCTCCAATTTTGATCTCGCTATCCTTTCGCTCTGCTTCCTGACATCTTATTCACCTTCTTATGCTTCTACCCTCACCTCCTCCATCCTTATATGTAATGGAAGAAGGCCAAGTATGGCCTCTATGGAACCTATTGGGGTAGTCAACAGCGCTCCTGTTATAATTAAGCATATTGTCGTTAAAGCTTATTCAGTTGGCATTTAGAGCAGATTTAAAGGAAAAGCTTTACTTTTCTGGTTATTCCTTCCAAATGGGCGTTCCATGTAAGCCGCTTATCTAGTATTGCTCCTAGATATTTGACCTCATTCGCTTTTTTTACAATTTCTCCATACAAAGCGGGCATCCAGGTGTTATCTAGGTTCCATCTCCTTTTGAAACTGACTACTACAGTTTTACTAGGATTGACAAGAGAGTTTTTCCCTGTTATGTCACCTAGTAAGGATATTTAGATTTTTTGGAGTGTGCTGGATAGAACACTATCATATTTTCCTCTTACCATAATTACTAGATTGTACCCATAGGCCTGCACTTCTACCCAGTGTGCGTCAATGAGCGAGATCAAGTCGAGCACCAGGAGTGACCATAGTAAGGGAGAAAGCACTCCCCTCTGTAGGCACTCTTGAGCTGTTTTAGCTCTGCTTTGCGCATTACTGAATTCCCGAATTGTGAATTTGTTAATGCATTATTAATGGAGTGACTGATTTTCTGAACTAGTTTGTTTAGTGCCATTGATTTTCTTTCTGTTGGTTTCTTTCCTTGTGGATTGCCATATTGAAAGGCCTCAATAGCCTCTCTTTCAAAATATATCAAATTTTTTTTATTGCCTTCAACAGAAATTATATGAGACTGATTGGCCTGTAGAATGTAGATTTAGATAGGGCGTTGTCTTGCCGTCCTATTTTGTGTATGTACACCAACCTTACAGTTGTCTAAGTCTTTGGTATATAACTTAGTACTGTACTAGCCCTAAAGATCTTTGTTAGAGTGAGCCATAAGATGTCCAATTCTTTTTATAGTAGGCAGGAAATATTCTCCGATTAGATGTTTGAATGAGGGTAAAACAGTATTTTTATTAATGGTTTTATCTAATTTAATCTAATCAAATATGTTGACTTTTTTAGATTGCCAGTAATAATTTTATTGGACTAAGTTAAAGCTTTGATTTTGTGTGGGGTATGTTAACTTTGTGTATATTTGATTTTATCCCACACTTGATTAAGGTATGTGTTGACAGAAATATAATTGCTGTATAGATTCAATGAGTTATTTTCCTTCGTTCAATAAGAAAGAGACGAATTTAAATTTAGAAGAATCAAGAATTTAGAGAATTTACTTGATCCCTGACGCTTTGGTTGAAATTCATCCACTGAACCGTGATATATGATATTTTAAATCTTAAAAATATTTTATTTGGGATTTGATTATATTTTCTCATAAAAATAGTAATATTTTACTGACTTATTGATAATACCAAATTCTTAAAAAGCAAATTTAACGAATACCAAAATAAGAGTACTATTTCTATTCTAAATTTTTCAATTGTAGATGATGATATTGATATGGACGAAGATTTTGATCCTTCACTTCTTATGCCGGAACTCTCCATGGAAGTAGAAGAAGCACCTGTTATAACACATAGTGGTAATTTTATTTTTATTTATTTATTTATTCATTAATAATTATAATATTAGTGTTGTGATAATATTTTTCCACGTTTATCAACAGCAACAGAGTTTGGGCCACTGGGGAGTAGGAAAATTTCGAAGACCATAAAAAAGTGGCATCGGAGATTCATGGAACAGTGCAAAATAGCAGAACTTGAAAAAAATCGTTGAACAAAGTTTTGTTTTAGTGGAAAATAATGAAATAGTGGAAAAAAGAGAATATGCAAAAGAAAAAAGGAAGATAAGTCTGAAACGATAGATATGCTAAAAAAACTCAATTGCAACGGAGATAATGAAGTTCCAACAAAAGATGGATATCGACGATGTTGACCCGGGTACCAAATTATGCAAGATGGGGAAATTATAGAGCAAATGAATAATAAAACTGACACTTGCTTAGATATGGTCTTGTCTCTTTATAATTGAATCCATAATTCTTTTGATAGCTATGAGTAAATATTTCGTTAAATCACTTTGTTCTCCAGAACCAAATATGTGATAACTTGATACCACATTGAAAAAAATTATTCCACATAATCTGGTTTCACTCGGAACTATGCCAAACAAATATAATTTTTCGGGAAAGAGTACTACTTAGTGAAATTGCTGTGTAATACATGATAAAATATGGCTGTTCATTTTCAGATGCACCTGCCCCAGAACCTGACGGTAGCAAAAGTCCATTACGTCTATATGATCCGATATTTTCAACGTTTGTTGATGAAATCACCGGCGCAGAGAGTAATATAAACTGTCACTAATAACATACTTCTTTCTAATATGTTTCTATTTTATTTTTAGTTGATTTTAACTTGACCGCCGAAGAATTAGAACTAAAATCTAAAACATTTGGAGAAAGTAAGTATGAGTTACAATTAATCTTTATTGTATCTTTGTTTTAAAATCTACACTTTTAAAATAGAATGTCAAGTAGCATACCGTTACTATAAGGCACGTCATTGCTTTTTTTTATAGAGATTAAGGTAGTTTTACAATACAAATTCTCTTGATTAAATTGTTTAACTATAATTTATTAATGTTTTATAGAAAATCCAGTCCAGTTAACTAAGATCCACTGTACAGCTTGTAACATCCATTTAGGCAGCGCTTTGGACGGTCAAGGTAACAGATTTGTTCACCCACTTTTAAAAGTTCTGATATGCAAAAAGTGTTATCATTTCTACACTAGTGGAGAATTCGAAAAAGACGAAGATGGAAGCGAATTGTATTGCAGATGGTGTGGGCAAGGTGGACAAGTTATGTGCTGTGCAAATTGCGAAATGGTTTTCTGTAAGGTAAGTTTTTGATGGTACATTTTTACTCTATAGCAGTATTTCATCTGTTCATAGTTATTTCTCTTTCCTTTGTCTATATGTTAAAAATAGTTTGTTTTAATTTATATATTAGTGTATTTCGTCTTAAATATTGATGTTCTTGTTATTGATGCCCACAACCTTTCAACTCATATAGTCTTTATAGATCTGACAAAGGCATACGATAGTGTACCACTTTCAATGCTTTGGGTAGTAATGGAAAAACGAGGAATAAGCAAAAAAAATATACAAGCAGTACAACAGCTCTACAAAAATATGACGGCAAACATTAAAACTGGAAATAGATTAACTAGAGAAATTCCTATTAGTAAGGGCCTAAAGCAAGGCTGCTGCATAGCACCTACACTCTTCAAAATATATCTAAATGAGGCACTCTCACTGTGGAGAAGAAAGTCTGTAATATGGGCATCCCAATCGGAGATGATAGATTGTACACGATACACTTCGCTGACGACCAAGCCATTCTAGCTGAAGACGAGAGTGATGTAGGATACATGCTTAGAAAACTGGAAGATGAGTACACCAAATGGGGCCTCACAATTAATATACAAAAAACTGAGTACTTAGTTGTAGGAGAGAAACCAGAAAGCCTACAAATCGAAATGGGAACTATAAAACCAACAGACAATTTTAAATACTTGGGAGTCCAAATAACATCAAAAGCAGGAAGTAGCGAAGAAATACATTCCAGGATTGGCCAAGCAAGATCAGCCACCAGACAGCTACATGGACTATTATGGAACAAAAAAATAAGAAAAGAAAATAAAAGAAGAATTTATAAAACAATAATAGAAAGTATTGGACTGTACGGTGCCGAACTCTGGGAAATAAACCAAAGAAACAATTTAAAAATTAAGGCCATGGAAATGAACTACTGGAGACGATGTTGTCAGCTCACTAGACTTGATAAGGTTTGAAAAAAATATATTCGGAGAGAAATGGAAATCGATCTAGACATAATAAACACAATCGAAGCCAAAACTGGTATGGACACCTTCAGAGAATGCCGGAAAATAGATGGCCAAAAAAATAGAAGAATGGACTCCACCAACTAGAAGAAAACGAGGTAGACCAAAACGATCCTGGACAGACGATGTCGTTGATACAACAACAAAATGGATAAAATCTCGAAGTTGCGACCTAGTAATGTATCTATAAAAGATGTGTCCCAAATGTGAGAAGAAGAGATTAGGTAGTTTTTGAAATAAAATGAACACCGACTAAAAAAAAATTATTGCGAGAAAAACGAGTTAAAAGCTTATTTTTTTTATACTCACACAATATCGTCTATCCCAGTCCCATATAGGGACGTGCTGCCTGCTAACATATCTAGACCCTAATTTTGCTCCCGCTTTCGAGAAACTCGACCTTTTTTGTTGCATCTGCAGCCTTTTCATCCGCTCTAGTAATTCGGTTGCTTCTGCGTGAGTGCATAATTGTTAGAACTTGACACTGTACCTATTCCAATTTCTATATGAGTGCTCACTCACTCATCTTACTCACGTCACTCACCTCACTCTTTTCACTCACGTCACTTACCTCACTCACTTCACTCACTCACTCACCCCATTCACTCACTTACTGACTCACTCACTTTGTTACTTCGTGAAAAAATCTTTTAATAATTTAATTTTATCTGACTCACTTATATTGACAATTCAGACATACATTATACATTTAAAAGTAGATGACTTTAAAATTATATTGCCAATATTGTTGAGTTGCGTTCCTGGGACAACTTTACTTGTAAGATAGTTCATTCGATTACATGAAATCAACTTTAACTTGAGAATATCCGTCAGAAAATACTTCACTAATTCACCTCACTCACTCACCTCACACACTTACCTCACTCACTCAACTCACTCCTAAATGCCTATAACTCGAACAATTTTGCTCCGATCACGTTGAAATTTTAACTGGATACTCCATGCAAAAAAATACCCCACCTCTCCTAAGCATTATCCAACAAGAAAAGTCACAGTTATGAGAAGAGCTTAAAGTATAAGCGAAATATGGAGAATATTATGATTGATATTCCTTGAACTTCATAGAGAAAAATCTCTCAATTTCCATAGTTTTGTGGGCAAGTATATTGTCCTGAGAAAACAGCAGTTTTTTCTTTAAACTTTATTTTCAACACTTTCATCCATTTTAATTCAGTTGTGAATAGTATTCTCCAGTTATGGTTTGACCTTTTGGAAGAAAGTTAATTAGCAAATATCTTCCGCATCCCAAACCGTCCTTATCTTCTTTAAAGCTGAATAATAATTGGCTTCAATTCACTACTTAGACTGGGTTTGGTTTGGTTTGGGATCAGTACAATATTACCTGTGATACGCTAATCTTACAAACCCATATCATGCACTTTGCCGGTGATCTACGGCGTTGTTGCACATTTTTGGTCGTCCTTCGTGTTGATCATCTTGACTACGTTTACATTCAGTCGCCAATTTCTGCACGGTAGAATTTAAAGTTAGAAGAGTCTATACATATACATATTTACAAGCAATATATGAATTTCAGTTATTGGGACAAAGGAGAAGTCAGAGTGAACGATTATATTTTTTACCAATCTGGAAACGACGATCCCAACCATGATAATTGTGTTGGTATTATGCTAGATCCTAGAACACCTCGCTCGGTCGTCAACTTCGTACCAATTTCTGACAGGGCGATGAGGATACAAATTCAGTCAGCATCTGAGAATCTAAATTTTCAAGTCGATGACACAACAGCGGATAAACCAGAATCAGATATGGAATCTTTCTACGCGGAATAAAACAATTGATATCCCAAACCTAAAAGGAGAAAACCACTTTCATCCTATGGAAATTAGAAGAAATAAAAAATTTGCTATTCTAAATCAAGAAGGATAAAACTACTTTTGTACTAAGCACATAAAGGCAAAAGTAGACATGCCAAGATGCGATGATACTATTGGGGAACATGGACTGGTAGTAAGGAATGAGAGAGGCGGTACCCTAATTTAATTATGCCAAGAGGAAAATTAAACACATTACTAAATCGTTATTGTTAACAATTCGTCTAAATATAATCATTTTTGTGCTGAAGGTTTGTAACTATTGCAAATTCATACGCGAATTCAAGCAGTATATGGAAATGCATGTCTTGCAATGCAACTGTCAAAGAATGTTGTCGAAAATTTAAGAGTGGAAGAAAGGAGACTAATGTTATGTTGCTACCGGTGCATTAAGTGTTGCATCAACAAACAGGAATGTGCATGTGTGGAAAGGATATTAGAGCATTTATCCTATAGACCCGATTAATCACCTTGAGATTTTCACATCTTTTGGTAGTATAAAATGCCGTAAAAGAATTCTTTGAACAACAACCTTCTTCTTTTTTAAGATCCATCTTCTATTGAAGGTTGGAAATCATCATAGCTATGCGGACCTTGTTGACTGCCGCTCTAAATAGTTCTGCACTACTGCATTCAAATTATTCCCTCAAGTTCTTAAGCCACTATATTCTTCGCCTTCCCATTTCACTTTCTTTATTGACTATTTTCAAAATTCAAAATATCGATTATTTTCACAAAATTTTAAGTGTATGACTCATTAAAGCTATTGTTGTATGATATAAGCAGGATATCGCACTTGACTTTTTGTGTATTGCCACAAAGGTCGATTGCACATCGACTTGCGAATTCGATGGGCACATCATCTGGTCCGGTATTGTTGCCCTCTTTTGAGTTTTTGGTGGCATTGATGATTTCTTCCCGTAATATTGTTGGTCCTGTATCCTCTGTGGTTTTTAGTGATAGTTCTTCTCTTTCATTTTAACAACCACAATAATTCTTTAGCAGGGTATACATCGGTTGGTGAAACAATGAGATATGTGCCTTAATTGTAATGGTAATTATTTGTAGATACATTTGCCAATATTTTTTTCCGGATCAAAGCTGGGTTTCAATTGAACAAGCTTCCTTAAATGTATCAAGGTGAAAATATGATTCATAAAATATCACTATGATTCATAAAATGAATTTTTAAAAAATTTTATCGTTACGATAAAAAAAGAATGAAAGAAATGTTTCATTATCAATACTTTCGTCATTAATTAGATATCTTTCATTAATTTTTATGGTAACTAATCGATATCGGTTAGATATTTAAAACAAACGTGTTCGCAACCCGGCGTTTGGCTAACTATGCTACTTAATAGCTACTAAACGTGTTTAGTAGCCAATCTGGCCAACATAACTTAGCCGTTGTGATCTGGTACAAAAATTATTTAGGTACAATACATAAAATTATTTTCTTCCCTTTAACATTAAATTGTGAACAATATAAACCAAAGCTTATTTTTTAATTATATACCAAGTTATTCGCTATGGAAATTAACGTAACTTTGGCATAATGGGAGAATGTGTTGCATACTAATACTCTAATACTGAAGTGCTCATAAATGGGACCTGCCACGATCTACCGTAATCGTAATACTCTAATAGGCTTATTACATTTATTGCAGTTATACCTAGTTTTTTTTCTTCGACAAAAGAACACACTGTACATCTCGTATATGTTGTCGAACTCTTATTCGTAGGGTAGGTCATCGTTTCCCCTACCTACCTACATTCGAAGCCGGAGATAGAATGACATTCTGTCTCCGGTTTCTATATAAAATGTAGCTTCTCCTTTTTAAAAAATTTTAAAGTGTTTGTTTGTCTTTGTGTATTGTATTGTTATGTCCAAATTTACATGTATGACATTCTACTCATGTCGGATAGGCCACAACTGACGAAATGCCCCTGAAGATGATCTATTGATCGAAAGTACTTGGCAAGATTTAATTAATTACTGTGTTCGATAGTTGCCTTGTATACCATCAAAGTTTAATTATTCGAACATTCAACCTTATATTGAGATATACGATTGTCTCCATTCTTCTGGAATTCTTCTCCGCTTAAGCATCTTTCGAATAATTTTCGGATCATTTCAAATAGTTTTGATGATTTCATTCCCTTAACTGCTTCTTTCACTTTTTCTATTGATATTTCTATTCTTCCTTCTACTTCCACTTGTTCATTTGTCTGTTTAACCTTTCTCTTCTCTCTGTTAATAAGTTCTCAAAATGCTCTACCCATGTGTTTTCTGGTATTCTATTTATTATTACTTGGTTTTTTGTCGTTGTTCTCATCGTTTTTATAGTTCTCCAGGCTTCAGAGCTCTTTGTCCCTCCTAGGTTGTCTAGGTATTATGATTTTTGTTCCCATGCACTATTTTTCTATTTAACCACTTCTCGTTTGACTTCTTTATTCAAGTTTTTATATTGTTTTGTTTGTTCGTCTCCCTGTTGTAATAACTTTTGATATACTTCCTTCTTTCTTTTTATCTTTTCTTCCATTTCTTTATCCCACCAATATGGTTTATCTACTCTCCGTACCTGTGGCCCCAAGGCTTCTAGCACTGCGTCTTTCATGCAGTTTTTTATATGTTCGTATTCATCCGTCGTTGATATTTGTGATTCCTGTAGTTTTTGTGTTAGTCTCCAGGAGTAAAGTAACTCTGTGTTCTTTGTTGATGTCTGTGTGGTTCCTGTCTACGAATAGTGTATATATTTTTCCTATTATCAGGCAGTGGTCCGAGCCACACTCTGCTCCTCTATTCACCTTGTTAAGAGTTATACACCAAACTAAGTTAAGAGTACGTCCTGTACTCTTAACTTAGTTTGTTGTCTTGTTATGAAATAACCTACTATCGATTTTAGGCCTCTTGTGTGCTGATACCAGGTGTATTTATGTATGTTCTTGTGGGCGAAAAACCCATTCAAATTCTTTAACTCATATTGTTGGCATATATTTATGAGTCTTTCTACGTTGTTGTTAACAGTTTCTTCTCCATGTATGCTTACCACTTTACTTTGTACTTGTTTTCCTACTCTGGCGTTAAGGTCTCCTCCGCTTATAATCTCATGGCTGTTAGGAATTTCTTTCAGGATTTTTCTAAAATCTTCTTCAAAAGCTTCCTTTTCTTGTACTGAGTAGTCAACATTTACGGCATATACCCCCAGAATTGTTATTTGTGTTCCTATTAAGAGAATCTTCACTTTAATAAAACGTTTCGTTGTATGCTTCACGAGATTTAATATATTTTTCGAATTTCTTGTGTATAAATATTGATATCTCTGTTCTTGCTCTTTGATCCTTTCCCACTCCTGAGAAGAAATGTACATAGTCTTTTAATTTTTCGCTTCCATTTCCTTTTTTCTTGGTCTCACGGAGAATGGCTATATCTAATTTTCTATTTACGAATTCCTGTATAATTTCTTGTTGCTTGTTCCGGATTCCCTATATATTCCAGATTCCGTAATTCATAGTAAATTTTCGTAGCTGTTTTCGTCTACTGTAATTTCCGTCCGGTAACCGAGGCTCATTGGGTTTTTTAGCACTGTAAAATTTCTCACAAGTGTAAGGTCGCTGGCCTTACGACTTAACCGCCATCCTTGGAGGACCGAATTTTCTGTTGGGGTTCATTCCTCTAGCCGATATGTTCCAGTTTTTAGGCGCCAGAGACTCGCCTTTTACCCTCTCTCGTCTGCTACACAACTCACTCGCATTGTACGCTATGTACCCAGTGGTTACCCGACATGGTATGTCTTCGTGGACGTAAGGGTAGGATTTGCTGGCAGAGCTGAGTTTTATTCCTAAAACCTCCAACTCATTCGTTGGAAAACGGGCATTTCTTAGAGTTTTGGTACGACAAAAGCATCGGCAACTTCATGTCGTCTCCAAGATCCCTTACCAGCCTTTAACCACCTACGAACTAGTGGTATTAAACAAGTGAAATATTTTATGATGCCAGTATTTATAGAATACTAAAATTATATTATTTATTTTGTTTTTTAGAAATGTATCCGAATTAACTTCGATAGAAGAAAACTCGCTGAGATTCAGAAAAGTGATGATTGGACGTGTTTTAGATGCAATCCATCACAACTGATCAATCTTAGGGTACACTGTGCTGAATTTATGGAATACGTACAAAGAGAAATGAGGTAAGTAAAATACACATTTTAAATAATAAGCTGCTAAATAATGAAATATATAAAAATGCAAAAGATATCTCAGTATCGGGTGGTTACATATAGTATAGGCTGGTTATATATGGAATCTTAAAATATTGTTTCAATAAAAACAACATAAGCTTCTACAAGACAAAAAGTAGATCTAATTATTGACCAAATTCTTTTTTTTTTATTGAAGTCTATTCTAAGTGTTCTTGTCTTCGGCTTGTACATTTCTCTCATAATTTTTATGTGTATAAATCTAGTATAATCGTTTTCATCGTTCTTGGTGTCTGCGTGTAAAAACACTTGCAATAAGTTGTTTCATCTTCAAAAAAAAGGGCTTGCTGACTGGCGTAATAGACTTAAGAAGGTCGAGGCTCTTTTATAGGGCTGTAGCACCAATGATGATGATGATGATGATGATTACAGGCCCATATAGCGACGTTCATCTTTTTGCTCCTGCTTTCGACGATCTATGCTGCGAGTGCATTATTATGAGAACTTGCCACTGAACTTATTCCAATTTCTTTGTAAGTGCTCACTTACTCACCTCAATCACTCACTCACCTCATTCACTCACCTAACTCACTCACCTCACTTACTCACCTCATTCACTCACCTAACTCACTCACCTCACTTATTCACCTCACTCACTCACCTCACTTATTCAACTCACTGAACTCACTCCTAAATGTCTGTAACTCCATCCTTTTTTGCTCCAATAACTCTGAAATTTCAACTGGATACTCTGGAAGAGTTATATCGAATAAAAAAAATGCAAAAATACCCCATCCCTCCTAAGCCCTATCCAGCGAGAAAAGTCACAGTTATGGACTGGTAGTTTATAGAGAATATTAAAGATTTTTTTATTACCTTCTTGTTTGTTCATTAAAAATATTTTTTATAATCGACTATAGAACGATAAAAAAATACAGGTGTGTGATTAATTGCTTACGGTTTCATATATTCAAAGGCAATAAAATATTTTACTACCGGGTATTAGAACCTTTTAGTGAAAATAGAAGATTCGGGCACAGAATAATAAACAATCAGAATGCCCACTCTCAGATGCCGCCTTTGAAGTTTTTCAGCACGCGCGTCATGTTTTAGAAGGAAACACATAACACAGACATATGATTTGTGAGGTTATGTAATTGTTTGTATTTCTGTTCAATTATATTATTATTTATGTAATTATATTTAACAAATGTTAATGTAATTGTGTAGTATGTCTATGATTGCCGTAAATCAATTAAACCGGGTTAATTTTTCTATGCACACCACATTAACAACACTGGTTTCCTCTAAAACATGGCGAAACATCTGCGCAAACGAGATGTGCGTAATTAATTTTCTCCGACGAGGGCGACGGATAGGAGCCAATAGATATTAAAAGGTCTACTCATAATATTTTTTTAAAGCTTGACCTGTATTAACTGACGAGAGTTTGACGATTCAAATTGTGTAAAAAAGGAGTCAAAAATGAAAAAGGGTTGAGGTAATAAATTGGACAGATTTATGAGGTAAAAGTAAAAGAACAGAATTTTATTGTTTACAAATTATGTCTTGTTCTGTGAGGGTAATTTGGTAAAAGCTCTATTATTAATGGACTTTCTGATACTGTTCTGCTCAGTTGATATATGTATATATTTTTTATTACAGAAACGCATCAAATGATGCAAATCCCGAAAATTTTATGAAGGTTGATCACTGTCAGTGTTGTATACCTCAAAAGAAAAAGGCTCCAGAACCCTCTCCGAAGGCAGAGACTGCTTCAACTAGAAAACGAAAACGATACGTTGAGCCAGATGATCCCGACTACAATCCACTTAAAGACAGAGAATCTCCACCGCCTTCAGGTTCGTCCACACCGACTCAGCAAAAGATGCCCGCATTGACACCCAAACCTCAAACTGTGTTAAACTCAACTGTGGCAACAAAACCTCCCACATTAAGGCCTATGGTTACTCCAATAGTTAGACCTAGAATGCCTGTTACATCTACAGGTAAATTTTTTGTCTTAATTTAAGCCGGAAACGTTAGCGGTATGTTAGTATCTTGTTTAATTACTCATAAGATTTAGTTAGTAGGTTTAGTCAGTAAATATTGAAACAAGTGGTTTTTAATATATTTTTATTAAAAACAATACTGGTAATTATCAAAACAATCTACATAAACATCAGGCTTTTACCACAAGAATTGAAAATACAGTTGTGAATTTCTTTTTTTTCTCACTTCTACACACTTCACACTGTTTTCTCACAATTCTTTTACTGACTTTTGAATGTTGATTTAATGTCAGATATTTTTCTTCCATAGCTTTTGCTCTTATAAGCTTATGTTGGTACCAAGGTAGTTGTAGCTGTTTACCCGATCAATTGTTAGTTGGTTAACTAAAAGCCGTGTATTTAATATTTCGCGCTTTCTGACTATCATGTACTTGGTTTTTTTTTCGTATTGAGATCAAGTCCATGTTCTCTACTTATATCTGATATACGCGACATTATTATTTACAACCCATCTAAGCTATCTGCAAAAACGACTGGGGACAAAATGTACCTTTTGTGCATTTTATCCAAGTCTTGGATACAAGGTGTTATGGAAATCAGGAAGACACCTGGAGAGATAGAAAAAGATGGCGATCGAAATGCGGGAAGCGGCAGAAACTGTAGGATCCCCGCTATATATATTATATATATATATATATATATATATATATATATATATATATATATATATATATATATTATTCGTCTAAATTGTTTGATTTGATGGTTATCATTGTAAAGAAATCAAACTAATCTTGGTTTAAATATCTCTGTGTTATTGTTAGCATTAACCTGTCGCTTAGTATTTTAAAAAATCCTAATTTAGATATGATAAATTCCACTACAATTGTTACAACAAAACGAATATGAAGATAAGTTTACTTCTACATGAAGTTATAGCTTGTAACAAAATGCAATTTCGATGAACATAAGAACATAAATAGCTGATTAATTTTGGATTTTTCTTCTAATCTACATCCCAAAGGTATTTCAATGTTGTGCGCGGAAACAAATGTAAAGTAAGTAGCCCTAATATGTAGTTAATAAAAATTATTTAACTTGAAGTGAGTCATGGTATAAATTATTATATCAACTTTTTGTTTTAGTTGAAAGTTCTTCAACCATTAGAGATGCACAATCTACAGCCATGTTTCAATCATATGAGATACCCTATTGTAGTATATAAAATTGTACAATTTTCAGTGGTAATAAATCATATTTTTATTGTATTCTAAATTAATATACAAAGTTGTTTTACATTAAATAAATAAATAAATTATATTTTGTTTTATTTTTTCGTAAATGTTATTGTGTATATTTGAAATTAAAAATAATTTGCACATTTTAACATTTAAAATGCAATTTTTTTTTCAAATATACCAAATTATATTTAAAATATAAAATATATTTTATTTAAATTTTCCCACCAAAATTAAATTTTGAAATTCCCGCGTAACTTCTCGCTTGAATTAGTTCCGATACAAATATTTTGGAGCGCTGAATTTCATATCTTAATAAAGTATTGTCGTGAAGCATCTAGAGGTAGGTGATTTGTGGTTTTGATCGTTTATTTAAAATAGTTCCGCGAAAATATTGATGAATCCTTAGACGAGAGTTTTTTGTAATATCATGTAAATACGACACATTTCAACTGTCAAACCCGTCAAATTAAAAACTAACTTAATTGACCTATTAGATGAATTATCAAAAAATGTCATTAATTTAAGTTTTATTATTCAGAAAATATGTTGGATATACGAGACTACAAACGCGCAATGTATAATAATAGACCAATTATATACGACATACCAAATCATGTAATGTTAGAAAGATAATGTAGATAATGCTACATCCCATAAGATACACCAAAGCATGTAGGAATAAAAATCTTGGTGTTATTCTGTTTGGTGTTGATTGATTGTTGCAAATAATAGTATTTGTTTCAAAATAGGTAGTTAATAAAATATTGAAACAAACTTTTTATTAAAATATTTAATATTTTAATCGAATTCCCTTTTCAACAGGCCGACCTCAAGCAGGATATGTTCGTGTAGCTCCTGGTACGCTTCGAGCAAAGGCCCCAGTAGTAACACCAGTAGCAACTGCGCTTCGGCCAATTCGACCTATAAATGCGATCAAACACGAATGGTTCGAGAAAACCGTTCGAGCTGCAGCTCGTGTCAATTCCAACCTCTCGTACACGCTAACCCAGCTGAACAGGGCGCAGGCGAATGCGACAAGCGTAGAAGCGCTGGCTGTAGTGCACAATAAGTTACAGGAGATTCTGAGTAGTTCAATCAACTCCTTGATACAGATTAGGAAGAATTTAAGAACGGAGTTTATTGCTGGTGAGTATTTTTAGCTTTATTCATGTTTGCAGGTCCGATCTTAACATGTATGCAGCGTAAATGTATTCGCCTCGTTGGTTCTTAGCGCATGTGTCATTATTAAATTTATACAAATTAAATCAAAAGTTATATATGTCATCGATGTAGCAATTACAAAATGGTCAATATCTCGTTCGTTTTTTGAAGTATATTTTATAATTTCTCTTTTCTTCGTGTGCCTTGTCCGTTCCGAACATTGGCAATCAACATGGCTATTCTGACTTTGTTTACGGCAGATCTGAATAGTTCAGCAGATGACAATCCGAACCATTGCCGCAAGTTTTGGAGCCACGAGTGTCTTCTCCTCCCTGGACCCCTTCTGCTGTCTATTTTCCCTTGAACGATCAGCTGTAGTACTCTATATTTATCATGTCTCATAACGTGACCCAAGTATTCCAACTTTCTTTTCTTTATACCTCTCTCTTTTCTCTCTCTCTCTCTCTCTCTCTCTCTCTCTCTCTCTCTCTCTCTCTCTCTCTTTTACCTATCCGGCGTAGTACCTCTTCGTTGGTCACGTGCTCAGTCCAGGATATACGTAATATACGTCGGTAAGCCCACATTTCGAAGGTCTCTACTTTTTTTCATCAATGTTGCGGTCATTATCCACGCCTCCCTTCCATATAACAAAACCGGGAATACATAACATTTCAGAAGTCGAATTTTGAGAGGTAGGTTGAGGCTTTTAGAGGTGAAAATTTGCTTCATGCTAGTGAACGATGCTCTTGCCTTCTACTCTTATACGTAATTCCTTCGCTTGATCCCAATTTGAGTTAACTGTTGTTCCCAAGTAGATGTACGAATCCACGTGTTCAATTCTTTCATTGTCTAATATCAGTTGCTGTGCTGATTGTTGGGTTTTGCTTACTAACATCCATTTGGTTTTTGTGATATTTAGTCTGAGTCCGTATTGTGCACTTGTTTTTTGTATCTTACTCATTAGGCAACTCAGTTCCTCCATGCTACTTGCTAGAATCAGAGTGTCATCAGCATTCCTTATGTTATTAATTATTTCTCCATTTATCTTTATGCCTTCTGTGCTTTCCTCCAGCGCTGTCTTAAATACTTCTACTAAGTATATATTAAACAGAATTGGAGACAAGATACAGCCCTGTCGTACCCCTTTCTTGATCTCAATTTTTTTGTCAATGTAGATCCTACTTTCACTTTAGCTGTTTGACCCCAACAGAGACTCGATATTGTTCGAATGTCTCTGTAGTCGACTCCGATTACGATTATCTTATGGAGAACTTTATAATTTCTCAGGACCTCAAAATCTCAGGATCAATTACTGTCCTTCATATTACTCTTTTTGTTTGTATACGAATACTCAGGTTCATTTCATAGAAAAAAGGCGTAATGTAAAAAATAATTGTTGAATAAAGTCATACTTGTTATTTCTAGTCTGATTTACAGTATTTGCGATAATGGATCTGCTTAGCATAGAATCTTTATTGTTCTGTTGACCATTTTGAATCATGTTCCTGACTTTTTTACTTCTTCTATTATTTTATCCATTATTAACTTAAACAATAACGGGCTCAAGATATCACCCTGTCTTACACCTGATTAATTTTAGACTTTCTCCGTTAGTTCGGTTCCTATTTTTATTCTTATTTTGTGATCAGAGTTAATATCCTTTATTATATGTGTTATAGTGGCTGTTATAGACTCTCTGTGTAAAAGTTAATCACATCTTGTAGTCTAATACAATCGAAAGCTCTAGTGATGTCAATAAAACACATGAATGCAGGTGTATTCAATTCTATTGCTTTCTATTTGTCTTATTATGAATATGGCATCGACAATTGATCTGTTACATCAAAACCCTTGTTGCTCTTCGCATATTTGATACTTTTTAATTATTTTCTCAACAAGTATCTTCGTCAATAATATCAAACTGGTGTAGTGTGATTGATCGATTGTTAGGTGTGTTTAAAAGCCGGTCTTTATAATTGTCTACTAAAGTTATAATAGTTGCAAAAATATTTACATACACTACATTCACATATTTACAAAACTTTATCAGTTCTAAATAGAGTACAAAAAGAAAAGAGGCAAAAATATTTTAGAACATCATTTTCAAAAATTGAGTTGTCTAAACGCTGGTTTTATTCCGTTATCAACTGAATTTAAAAATATTTACATATATTATCATCATCATCACGTAGCCTGGGTGGGTCTTGGCTTTTTAATTCAAATTCATAAATACAGAGAAAGTGGAAGAGAAATTGTATGAGACGTGGTTTAACACCCATGACGTTTCAAAATGTAGTTGGACAGATTCTTCTGGACGCTGTACAACAAAAGCTTCATCAAATAAAGGAAAACGTATTACAATAATTCATGCAGGAAAAAAATGGTTTTATACCTAATGCTTTAGCCTTGTCATGCAAAAACATTAAGGAATCCTGTGTCGACTATCATGATGACACCACATCAGAATTATTTGAGAACTAGTTTTCAACGAAGTTATTGCCAAATATACCACCACACAGTGTAATTGTGATGGACAATGCCAGCTACCACAGTCGTAGGCCGAATAAAGTTCCATGTTCTAATGACATCAAACTTTTAATCCAGGAATATATGTTGGAAAATGATATATATTATGAAGATAATGGTTCTAAAAATAAGTACTTAAAATTTTAAAATCATTTTCCATCAGAAAACAATATTATTGCGACAGTTTGGAGGAAGAAATGGGTCAGTATTAAGACTTCCTCCCTAGTGTTCAATCTGATTGGACACATATGGCAATAGCTAATAGCATCGGTAAGGAGAAGTAATGTTTCGCTTACCCTAAATTCATCTGTGGTTCGTCTAATTGAATTAGAAATGGAGAAAATAACCAATGACAGCTGGAAAAATACACATAGGTTTTTCAAAGAAACAATTATTATAGATCTAGATAACTACAGTGATAGTCAAACTGACTTGTCCATGTAATTTTTGTCTTTAGGACCTCTGGTAGGGCTTTAAATGCGGTAATTCTTAAGACATTGATGCTGAGTAAGCAGCCCAGCCCGTTTGTGATTGTAAAAACATATTTTATTATCTAAAAAAAAACAGAATTAGAGAATATAACAAACTTGGGCGTCGTTCAAAGATGAGTTTCATTCTCCCTCAGTTTCTTAACATTGAAAAGCACCTTACTTACATCCGCCCTTATCCTGCAGTGCAAAGAACCAGCGGACAGACTATATAGTATGAACTATTATTTATACGATATTTTATATTATTGCAAAATATATTTAATAAAAATAATACATGGTAGTAGAAGTATTCGTTTTTTTTTTCTTTTAGGTATTAAAAATATTCGGTTTCCACCTACTTCGAAGCCATCTAATACCCCGACTTCAAAAGACGACGACGACGTTATCTTTGTTGACGATTCAGCACCCAAGCCCACGACTACCACTGCAACCCTAACAACCCCTACGCTTCCTCCAGGCCTATCTCTCATAAAGAGGACTCAGGCGACCGTAAATAGATCCAATAGTCCAAGTACAACTCCCGTAGCAGGACCTAGTGGAGTTAACAAAACTACTAAAACTACTCCTTCCAAACCTTCTACTAGTACAGGTATTCAAGCTAAAGGTTTCCTGAGGGTCAAATCTTTCTCGGCGCTGCAAAGTGTTACTTCCGAGTGCATAACTATCCCCGACGATCCTGCGGACGATGCAGATGTTTTGGTAAGTTTCACTTTTGATTGTTGAATTCGTTTTTATGAGTAGTACTTCAGTTTTGTAGTATTCCGCAAAATACAGTACATACCAGGTAAAACTAGGCAGTCTAAATAGTTCGGTTAATATGGGAACTTTAAAATAATCACAAAAAATGTCAACTTTCTTATATAAATCCAAATTATATCTTTTCATACTCCTATGTTAATTAGTAAAAGATAATAAATAATACTTTGCATATGGTAAATAAAACATGTTTGTGGTGGCCTTTTTCACTTCTTTGATAACTGTTCTACACAAATATTGTTAAATATGTATGATGAAATAAATATGATTAAATATGATGAAAAGCAGGAAAGCTGTAGGGCCTGATAATATCGAAGCTGAATTTTTAAAACTCCTGGAGGAAGAAGAAATAAATTGGATCACGGCTGTCTTCAATAAAATATACAATACAGGAATCATCCCTGATAAATGGCTAGAATCAGAATTCATAGCGATACCTAAAAAACAGGGGGCTAAAAAGTGCGAAGAATATCGAACAATCAGCCTAATGAGCCACATGTTAAAACTGTTTCTTAGAGTCGTCCATGGAAGAATTTATAAGAAGTGCGAAGAACAAATATCGTCAGACAGTTCGGCTTCATTAACGTAGTAGATACCAGAGAGGCACTTTTCGGAGTACAGGTACTGATTCAAAGATGCAGGGACGTTAACTGCCACGTATACGAGTGCTTGATCGACTATGAAAAAGCATTTGACAGAGTTCAACATCAAAAGATGATAAACATTTTTAAAGAGGCAGACCTGGATGACAAAGACCTCAAAATAATTTCGGAACTCTACTGGAATCAGACCGCATACATGAAAATTAACGGAGAAGAAACAGATCACATAAAAATACTACGTGGAGTTAGACAGGGATGTATCCTATCGCCGTTGATATTTAATATGTACTCAGAGAAAATTTTTAACGAGGCTCTTTACAGAATAGACGAAGGCATCCTTCTAAATGGTGAAAGATTAAACAATGTTAGATATGCCGACGACACCATGGTGATAACAGATAGTTTAGAGGGACTTCAGAGGCTAATGGACAGAATAAACGAGTACAGTCAACCGTACACTAAACATTAATACCCACAAAACGAAACAAATGATTATCAGCAAGGAGAATATAAACGGGGCTCATCTATACATAAATGGGACGCAGATAGAGCGAGTAAAACGGTATTGCTACCTGGGAACTATTAAACGAACAGTGGAGCAATGTACAGGAAATAAAGTGCCGCATAGGAAAGGCAAGAACGGTCTTTAACAAAATGAGCGCCATCTTCAAAAGTCACAACATATCCCTAGATACAATAATGAGACATTTGAGATGCTATGTTTTCTCTGTGTTGTTGTACGGGGCGGAGGCATGGACGCTTACAGACACCACTATTAAAAAACTTGAAGAATTTGAGATGTGGCTTTATAGAAGAATGCTGAGAATATCATGGACAGCAAGGATCACCAACAAGGAAGTTCTAGGAAAAATGAAGAAAGAACCAGAGATTGTGTTTACGATCAAACGCATAAAATTGCAATATCTGGGACACGTTATGAGAAATCAGCACCGTTACTCCCTGCTGCAGTCCATATTGCAAGGTAAAGTCAAAGGTAAGCGGGGACCCGGTAGAAGGAGAATATCATGGCTGCGGAATTTAAGAACATGGTTTAAGAAAACCTCAACGAAGCTGTTTCGAGCCGCAGTAAGCAAGGTTATGATTGCCAATATGATTTCCAACATCCGAAACGGATAGGAACCAGAAGAAGAAGAAGATGTATGTTTTAAGAATATATTTTAGGTATATTAATAGACGGGAAATCATCTGCGTTTTGCCGACAACATAGTTCTTATTACCGAAGATTTGCGTAAAGCACAACAAATGCTACAAGAATTAGAAAATGTATCTTCAACAATAGGTCTAAAAATGAACATCAGTAAGACCAAATTTATGTCAAATTTGGTTCCCAGCGAACACCTAACCATCCAGAATCAAGTGGTAGAATTGACAGAAAAGTACTTGATGTGCCTATCCGTTACGAATGTTATCGATCATTATGGCAATCTTTATCTTATCTGCAGCAGCGCAGAAAAGCTTCACATATGTTGTATTGAATCAGATTCTGAGGTTCTTTAACCAAGATGTTCTTCTTGGACCTCATTTTCCAAATATTTTTCCTTGCAGAATGGCTTGAAGGAGATACCTATGTTCAGCAGTGGACAGAAGAGGTTGCATGATGATGATATTAGTAAAAATTTCAAGTCCTCCTGTGCTTGGTCGCAGAATACAATTTAACGTGTTCTACTGATGTTGATTCTTTATTCAAGAGTTGGTTGAACACCATAACCCTATGGAATGGCTGTTGTTTATAGATTCATCTCTAAACTCAATTTAAAAGCAGTATTTCTTCATATTGAAAATCAAAAAATTTCTATTTCTGTTACATATGCAGCTCATATGAAAGAGGCGTATGACCACGTCAAGATTTTGCTATCGAAGATACAATATCAACATTATTCTTGGAATATATTGGCGAGTAGGATAGCAGGGACGGGAACATCAAAACGTTACATCTAAACCACTTGTATTCTTGAATACATAACGTATGGTCCTAAAGTTTTGAGAAAAATTTCACCTGGTCTGATTGAGAAGCAAAATGCATTTAAGAAAGAAGGCCATGGAATTGAAATGTCATCAGTTATTGACATTTTATAACCAAAGCAGAATATTTTGGTTTGTGCTCTGCAAAATGTCTTATAAAATTGATATTCGTCGAGGTGTTTATAATATAAAACATAAGCAAATCGACAATTTATCGCACAATCAGAGAATGTGAAGAGGGGATACCATGTGTTAACTTGCGTAAAGTGGCCGACCGCGGATTTTGAACCGTATAAGATAGGCAAGACTGATTGAAGCAGCAAAGAACAAAATATTTTTCATCGTTCATACGATCAACTTGTTGACGAAATGCACTCGCCTTAACGCGCGGCAACATCTCGGAATTCTCTCTAATTGATCCTCTGTGTATTTTGGAGCTTTCCTTCTTTTCCGGTAGATAATATTGTTACTCGATAGGGTCCTATATACTGTAGTCTTTCCAACATGAAATCTTCCGGCCAGTTTATATTTCACATTCATCAGAAGGAATATCAACAAAGACAAAAAAAAGCATTTAAATATTTAGGACTAAAGATGTCTATTTTTCCTTCTGTAAATAAATGAAAGAGGAAACTGTTAAAAACCGATAGAATATAGCCTATAGAAAAATTATTACGACTCACCTGATCGACAGTTTCGGGAAAACACAGCACAATTGATTCTTTCTATTCAGATAAAAATAGAATAAACCTATTTTTCGAGAACATTGTTTCTTGTTACAATTTTTTTTTATTAACTCCATTGAGTACAACAATCTGCCTATTGGGCATTAAGCATTTGGTATGGTAAAATACCATACCAACTGCTTAGTGTCAATGCTAATGTTACTGACAAAATTGTCACAATTAAATTAAGACAAATGCCGGGTGATCGTATGATCCGATCTGACCAATAGAACAAAGTTTTATAATACGCGTTTTAAAAACAACAATACGTTTTACTAAAGGTAATTTGAAAATACACACTTAAATTTTGTTTGTTCTCGTTCGAAAAAACACAAGTTTTTTTTTTCTAGAAGATGGAATTATAAATACGTGAATTAAAACTTTATAGGTTTTTTGGATCGTTACAAACATTGTTTGATTATTTAGTTAAATAATACACATTATTTATGTATATTAATTACCATGTACATGTGTATTAAAAAATTATTGATATTTTATTCTAAAAATAATAATATAATTTAATCTAATCATTAAATTTTATTTTACAGCCAGTTGTAGAAAAGGATCCCCTCGAAATGGTCGAAGTTGTGGATGACAAAGAAGAAGATAAATCAAAGGAAGTAGAAGCTAAAAAAGAAGTCAAAAGTAAGGACGACGACAAAAAAGGAAATACAGAGGTCAAGAGTAGTAAAGAGGTAAATAGTGATGAAAATGTAAAAATCAAAGATGACAAAGAGGAAGAAGTTCGTCGCACAAATGGGATGACAAATGGCAATAAAGATGTAAAATCTTTGAAGGCAGAGAAACACCCCGCCTCTCCACGTTCTGTAGACAGCGACTCAGAGCGGCCTCTCAAAAAGGCAAAAATTATTATCGAGAGATCTTCTGAAATCGATAAGATGGCAAAGAATTCTTTCGGTGTTGTGAACGGTACATCTGACGAATCTGAAAAAGAAGTGGAAAACTAAACAAAGTTGCATACGGAAGTGAGGTAATTTGTGGCAGAAATGTTGTAACAAGAACTATCCAGTTTGTTTTTTAGGTATTGTACCTCGCAAGCGATCAATTTATAAAGAGTTTAGTTAGCTGTAGAGGTTACAACAATAGAAATAAGTGTCTTTGCTACTATATTTTATTTATAATCTTTCGTTACGAAAATAGATGTTTTTTACTGAGTAAAATTTTTTATTTGAGTTCATGACACAGAAAGAATAAAAATAAAATCAAAGAAATACGATTGAATTCCAACTTTCCAACTTTTTTCATGTGTGTTGTGACAGTTGTTTCATTTCTGTGTTATGTGTATTCTGTGCTTAATCTCAAATTTCAGAAATGGTTTGCCATAATACTTGCAACAATTGTGTCGAATATGAAGATCATGTAAGTTGTGTGTTAAGTTGAAACCAACCGTTATATCAGATAGTATCTTCTGATTTGGTTTTTATCTTTACTAAAGAGGAGTTACTGGAAAAGAAAATAGTTTATGATTGTAAGAATTTTATTGTTAACGGTATATTCGATTATACACACATCAAAATAATCTCTAGGGCAAAAACAAAATGCGAGATTACATAAGCACTTAACCCTACGTCATGCAGTCTATTTCTAATGGTTTGACCACCTGCAAACTCTTGATGGGTCCCTTGCAGCCTCATATGTAATTGTGATGCAGTTACAGTGCGATTTCGCAAAGCCTTCAACCTAATAAAACGGTCTTCAACCTGGTTGGTTATTATTATACGAACTGTGTGACGTTCAGCAACATCACCAGTTTCTTGACATCTTAACCACAAACGATTAATGACACTTCTGCCCGTGTGGAGGACCTCAGCAACGTCTCTTTATAGCACGCCACTGCGTTTCGCGATTTAAATGATGTCTATCCATTATTGGCAATTGCAATACTAAATAATAATCCACATAGACATCGAAAATCAAGTACCAATAAAGAAATATTAATTTTTATCTTATAGACAAAAAACTCATTTTGAAGTTTTGTTAAATTTTTTAGTCATTCTTGGACTTGAAGTCCAATTTGATATAAATAATCGGCAAATAAAAAAGATTAAAAACATAAATTTATTTTTGTATTTGCAGCTAACATTGATTTAAAGCTATTAATATAGGTGTCCCCTAGGTTATTTTGATGTGTGTATATTGATTGCTAAAATCGTTTTTATCGTTCTTAGCGTGTGCGTGTAAAAACACTTGCAATAAGTTGTTTCATCTGTCTTTCCTTGTCTAAGCTCAATTCGTTCACCTCCTCCAGTGGCGGAGCAAAATGTAGCACGTCAAACGAAATAATAGTTATAAAAGAAAATTATAAATTATTTTTCATTAAATTTCTAACAACGGAATATACATATAAATTGCGAAAAAGTATTTTTCTAGCTTGCAGTACAATAAGACAGGATATAACGAAAAGTACATTTTAAAAGGATTTTGAAATATACCCAAAAAAGTGTTAATTATTTAACCCACTTTAATTAAAAAATGATTTTTTAAGTTTTAAGCACTGTAGCGAATTCTGAACTGTTACAACGTACTGAACTTGATTAATTAACTAATCAGTCAGCGTCTTCACTGGAACTGTCTTCATCATTGGAATCTTCCACCAAATCGATGATAATCCTACTTTCATTTTCATCATATGTGACCATTTTTGCCCAGTCTTCCTGAATTAATTTTTCAGTATGGTTAACACAACTCGCCCACACTGTAGGTGTTGCCTCAGCTAATGCATCGCCCCAAACTTTTTTCACTGTTTCATCTCCACGTCCATGTTCTCCAATATGCCGATCATAGTATTGTTTAGAAATGCCCCAGACCAACTCAATCGGATTATATTGACAGTGATATGGAGGCAATCTCAAAACCTGATGCTCATGTTCTTGGAGTAGCTCGTCTATAACGTACCTGGTATTTTGTGGTTTATTCTGCCGACAAATACTCAATAGCTCGGTCTTGCCCGAATCGTCGTCAAAAAATGTTTTTTTCGCTGGTAACCATTCTTGTAACTTCGATTTTTTCCAACTGGCATTCGGTAACTTAAAGAGCTATGGTATGAGGCATTATCCATAATAATTAGAGATGGTTCCTCCAACATTGGTATCAGCTTTTCGGAGACCCACTTTTTAAAAGACTCTTTATCCATAGAACCATGATAGTCTGCACTCTTCGATTTCGTAGAAAACAGTAATCCAGCAACTTTAACAAATGCTTGCCTATTTCCGGCATGTAAAGCAACAAAGCGTTTACCTGTATTTTCGTGTCCTTTTCTGATGCTTTTCACACAGTCATCTTAAGACGCCACAAACTTGTATCACAACCGTCATAGAGATGCTTGTTTCTTAATTGTGTATTTAGAACTTTAATTGTAACGTGCTCTCCTTTTGCTTTCATGCCATACAGTACATTTCTAATCTCTCCTTTTATAGTATCGCTGACATCGTTAGTCGTTTTTTTTGTACATTACGTGACTCTCCTGGTGTAGTAAGAGCTGCCCCTGTCTTGTATTCACTCTTTATTCTTGTCACTGTGCGAAGACTGATTTTCAAAGCGTCCGTTACTCGTTCATGTACCGATGATAACGAAAGCAAAGGTCCGTTGTTTTCTTTTTCTTTTTTAAAATACTCCAATAAATGAACTACACATTGTCGCATTTCTCCTGTTATCGTTTTTCCCGGCATTTTTTTGTATTAAATAGAACAATTAGTTATTCACAACAAAAAATAATAAGTAAAACTGTTCGGAACAAATTCCAACAATGACTGACTAAAATCGACTAAAACAACATAAAATATCAGTGGTAATTGCTACAATTATAAACCTATTAGCCAGCTCATTCAAGAACAATGCCACAAGTCATTATTGCAATGGGTATCGGAAGAGAGAGAGTTAATTTCTAATAAACTGGAATTTTTAAGGTGTCGAGAGTATTATTTTATGTAATGGAATTCCACAAAGTAAGAGCCCAAACTATTAATTAAAAACTGTTTACTTATAAAAACTATTTCATCAGCTACTTTAAACCTGCACAGATCAGGGTAATATGTTAAAAAACACGTCACTGCCAGCTATCTGTATTCGTAAAGAGGCCGAACTTATCACCGACACCGTATCGGCCAAACGCATCGGTGTTATTGCTACAATCCTGGGAGACGTGAGTGGTCTCTTCATTCCCTTCTCATCGCACTTTACCATGACGAACGTGACTCGCACAATTGAATTACGCATCTGTCTATCAGAGAGAGACGAATAATAAAAATTCCGTAGTAGCTTATTTCAGGCACACGCCAAGAACGATGAAAACGAGTATATTAATATTTGCATACTCCATCGGGATTAAGTTAAATGATGAGTTTGTCAAATACTTTTGTAAATCAAAGGATGATTTCTTGTTTACAAAGTAATTTTTTATATTTACCACGTTTTTTGCGAATCAGCTAGCCAATGGATGCCATGTTACTCACAGAACCTCTATTATTCACTATTTGATTGCTTGGGGCAGTAATTTATAACCTTTTATGTATTGTTTTTTGTAACATACTGCACTGAATTTCTTGAAGAACCAAGTCCCTTCGGTACTCCGTTCTGTCCGTTTATGTTTTATCACTACCGCAAATTACAGAATTACCTTATTTACTAATACTTGTAAATGCCATGCATAACTCCCAAATGCATATTTTGTCTAGTTTAAAACTGAGTTCGGTGCTTTTTTAGTTTAAATATAGGTCTAAGTACTTTTAATGTGTTAATTAAAAACTTCCTAATTTATTGGTATCGGAAACAACAATTTTATTTGTGTTTTGTATCATTCCCTTTGGATAATTTTATAACCTGTTAATGATGAGCTACCTAATTTAGCAAGCACATGCTTGTAAGGAATTTCAAACTTTGCTGAAAGTATAATAACACGTAAAGGCCTGTTAGATATAAAAACGACACAAAGAGCAAGTACTTAAACTTAAATAAATACACTTAGTAAAATCAAATTAAACTTAATTATCATCATCATCAGTTGGCGCTACAGCCCTTCATGAGCCCTGTTCTTCCTCTGGCATTCTTCAATCTCTCTTAAATCATCCTACAAATCGTTCCGACATAGATGTATAAATATATTAACATAGACTGAGCATACGGGCCGCGTGTACTGACGACAAGATCTCTTGCGATCTAGTTAGATCTGTCTCTCTCAAGCGCATTGAAACTCCTCACTCTCTTTCAACCCCACCAAAAGAGACGCTGCTATATTTAATTAATGTAAGACAAAAAAGAAAAAAAATGGTGTGGTCCCTTAGCTCTACAGACTGCTCAGTCTGTGTTAATATATACGTCCAAATACCTGAGTTTAGGTCGCCCCTTTCTTCCAACCGGCCTATTTAGCATGGTTATTGTAGAAACATCACTTTCATCCACCAGCATAACGTGGCCCATCCATCTTGGCCGGTTTATTTTGATGGTTTTTAGATATCTGCACAATAAAAAGTCTCCTCCCCAGACCTTGTTTGTTAACTCCGCCATATATGGTCTTCAATACTTTTCTTTCAAAGATTCGTAGTAGTTCTTTATCTCTGGTCGTCATTGCCAATGTTTCCGATCCGTAAATGAGTACTGGACGTATCATTGTTTTATAAAGTTTGCATTTTGTTGCTCTTGGCATATTTCTTGCTCTTTTTGTTGAACAGCGGTTAGCATATTCTTTTTCTTATTTCTTTGAATATGTTGTTTTTGCAGTCAACCAAAGACCCTCAGTAGCAGAACCCTTCCACCGTTTCTATAGTTTCGTGTTGCACAAGTTATTTTGTTGCATTCTTGAATAACCTTCATATATTTAGTTCTGAGAGTTAATCAGAAATACGATGTTTTCTGCAGCATTTTTAATACATGTAAAAGCTTCAACTGCTTCATTTCGAGTTCTTCCAATGATCACGATATCATTAGCATATGCCATTATTTGTATACTACGGCTATATATCTTTCCAGTTAAGTTTATTCCCGAATCTCCCATAACTTTTTCTAACGCTAGTTTGAACAGAGTTCATGATAGCGCATTCCCCTGTTATACTTAAATAAACTTAATTATAAATAATAGTAATAAATGCTTCACTCGCTAGCAGGAAGTTTCCAATGGTATTTCGCGAAATATTCTCTCATTTTTTCAATCACTGCTCACC